AGTCCCGGTGTAGTCCCGGTAGTCCCGGTAGTCCCGGTGTAGTCCGGTGTAGTCCTGGTTCAGTCCCGGTTCAGTCCCGGTGTAGTCCCGGTGTAGTCCCGGTTCAGTCCCGGTTCAGTCCTGGTGTAGTCCTGGTGTAGTCCCGGCGATCAACTCTGCAGTTGCTGTGTGTATCTGCTATCTGCTGATGACAGGTTCCTTCAGAAGGTTCGGTCCTGGTTCAGTTCTGGTTTAGTCCTGGTTTAGTCCTGAACTATTGGACTGTCAGACTAATGGACTGACCCCGATTTATCACGGGCGGGTAACGGGCGGAATTTTAACGGGTCCAGGCGGGTGCGGATTTAACTTTGATATCATCAACGGGTTAACGGGCGGGTTTGGTGCTGTACTGCGCAGGTGTGGGCGGGTGTGGGTCTCCAAAAAATTGACCCGTGCAGGACTCTGTTGTGATGTCATGAAGGGGTAGTTTTCAAGTCAACATCTACCTATCTTTTTGTTGATTAGAGAATGCAAGTTCCATAGATCCAGAAAATAGCGTAATATGGGCCCTTTAAAGCAAAATAGTTCTGATAACCCTTCGGTCAGGAACAATAATAATTTAGTCTGGTCCTAGTTGGGTTAATCGCTCTCTCCGTTTGACCCATACATGCATCACTCACTTCCGTTCAGCAGTTTCTCAGCCATAATAGTTCAGTGAGTTCAGGTGGAGTGTTTATCGAGCCTTTTATGTTGATTTAAAGCCGCTCCAACACAAGGAAGAACATATAAATTGATATGAATAAATCTGGGACCATCTTGCTGTGAGGGACCAGTACTGAGCATAAATCCTGGGCCCGCTAAAGAAACTCCAGACTCAAGTACACAGTGTTACTTTGCAGGTCATCAACGACATTTCCTGGGGTGTGACGCTAACTGTAGGCACTGCTCTGTCTGAAGCTCAAGATGGGCTTTAATCTGAGCAGAAGGAACTACAATAGGTGATGTGATTTGTGCTCTTAAACAAGTTTCTGAAACACTTTTTTGTTGAAAATTAAACGCCTAAACAGGACCAGGAATGCTTGGACTGATCACATGCTTCTGAAAATGTGCTCTGTAAATCCATTAGAGTTTCCAGACAATTTAAAAACTTTTTTGGCAAATGAAGAAAAGAGATAGAGCGCTTCACCGGGTCATAAAAAAGTTAAAAATAGCAGTACAGGTTTTCTATGAAGGTTAAACTTGTAATCTTAATAGAATGTGACTGAATATATTAAAGTCCTTTATTACTAATGTGTGCGCTGTGTCACCATGGCAGCTGCTGAACATTCCCCCAGAGATAATCCATGCAGAACACCCCCAGTGTGATGTCACTGCAGAGTATCAGCAAGACAAGGGAACCCAAAGTTTTTTCCCTCAGCGGTTCAAAGTGAATCCACATCAGCGGATCGATGGCCAAATCAAATGACATTTGCACAAAGAAATTTCTGATTAAATTTACTTGAAATATTGAGAACTGGACTGGATTGGACGTTTCAGAGCAAAATTGAATCAAAGTAGATTCTTCTTAAAATCTCAGAACCTCCCGGAGCGCCAGCTAATGATTTCTTTATGGAGCAGCTCTAGATTTGAGATAAAAGATAAATGGTTTTGGTTTTGTTTAAAGGCAATTTTTTGATCTATGAGATAAATATGTCGTCTTTGTTTGGGCAAATTCTTGGTTTGAATACCTTTTTATGACTCAATTTTCCTGATAATAAAAATCTAGCATTAAGATATTCTTGTCACAATAACAACATTTGAAGTGTAGTATATTGTTAATGTAAAGATTTATACGATAGACGATCATACTGAAACCAAACCATGAAGCAGAATTATCCCTTAAAGGATCCACCACTTGTCTTCATGGAGATGTTATTGCTTTGTCTAGAATGTTCCAGAGTATAGATTAAACCTGTCTATCTGAAGGGACACAGCTATAGGCTACATTACAGGTCAGATCTGCGGAGAGGCAGCCCTATCCACAAAGAGAATTATTGTATTTTTGAGCAATAGAAACACCCATAATACATCTGCAAAATGTTTTTTTCATTTGTTTTTCTCCTATCATTTGAAGCTTTGTATCTTGGTAACTTAATATAGGCGAGTTTCATTGTTGACAAAAGCGCGCGTTGCATGCTGGGAATTATTTTGGTCGGCGGCAAGAAACACTAATTCAACATGACAGACGGAGCGAGAAAGCACGTAAAGGGTATTGATCCCGGTTATTTATCCACTCTAACGGCAGAGGACTGAAGACGATTTGACCAGAAATTGGTCATAAGCATCGATGGAGCCAAATCACCCTTTTCAACCCCGACAATGTGTCGACGAAACCAAATTTCTGGTCAGAATCGCCAACTACCTGGACAAATATTCACTTTGGCGATATCCACAATGACTTGGTGGAAACTCCTGGGCCATTCACAGCAGAAAAGATGAAAACCTCCAAGAGTCTCGATGTGTTGTTGAACTTGTTGGAGTCCACGGTTTGCTAGGATCTTCTACATTTGCTCTGAGAATGTTTGAAAGAAGTTTAATTCACCGTTAGCGGTTCTTTTCACTCAGAATACGAAAAAGACATTTTCCTTCTTCCGTGCTTCTATTTGTGCATCCGATAATGCAGCAGGAATTTACCATTATCGGGGATAAATACAGGAGGTTACGCACTGTGTTTGACGCTACCGTGTTTCTTGCCTCCGACCAAAATATTTCCCAGCATGCAACGCGGGCTTTTAATAACAATGACGTCAGCTGAAACTCGCCTATTAGACGGTCTTAACAACACAAACAAGAGAACATTGAGAACTGGATTGACGTTGTGCGTGTGATCTACAGGATGGAAAAGGTTTAATTTTTATTGGAAGTGCAGCTGGACTTATTTTACAAGATGTGGTCTAAATGGACAGAGTATGTAAAGCCGGTGAGATCAGACTTCATATAAACTACTTCACAGTTGAAATATTCTGTTAAATTGTAAAAGAGGTTCCCTGAATCCTCAACATGTTCCGAGTTTGTATATGTTTTAAAAATGTAAAAGCAGGAACGTGTGATTTGAAAAAAAAAAAAGAAACACCCATAATGTATAAATTCTAGGGGTGTAATGGTACATGTATTTGTGCCGAACTGTTTCAGTACAGGACGTTCGATTCGGCTGTACTTGACTGAATTTGCACGATTTGTGTGTGTTTATATTCCACCACTACATGTGCAGCTACACAGAAGGTTCAGCTCTTTAATATTCACAAAAGAACTCGTCCATGATTGGGGTGGCAGTGTTTCCCACAGCGCTTTATAGTTAGGGTGGTTACCTTGACGACAATTGCTCCCCGCCTTGACTACGTCCCTCCAAAATACGTGAATCCTCGCAAAACTACGGTGCCGCAGTCCTCACTCTTGGCTCTCTGGGTATTTTCAACCGCTGAAGACATTGTAACTTCCAGTAATGTGGACAAATTGTTTTTTCTGGCCAAAAATATGAAGATTGAGTAAAACTTCATCAGCCCTGCGCTTTAGTTTTTGAAAAGTTTTGTTTACTGTTTACAAATAATTTATTTTTTTTTTTATAATATTTCATTTGTTGCTTATTTTATTTAACTTATTAGTACCAAGCAGCACTTTGCATTTATTTTACTTTCCCGTTTGTACAATGTTAAAACAAATTGTTGGTTTAATAAAAACACAAATAAACAACAAACAAATGGTTTCACATTTTGTTCCCATACTGTACCAAAAATGAACTGAACCGTGACCTCAAAACCGAGGTATGTACCGAACCGTGATTTTTGCATACCATTACACACCTAATAACTGCTCGATAGATAGGTGTGTTTAAAATCCGTGTATCATTCGTTCATTCATTTTTCAATATAAAACCAAAAATAAGAAAACGAAAAAAACAACAGTTTTCTTCGTTATTTGTCTCCAAAACCAAAATTTTCGATTTTGTGTTTAAATGAAGAATGGAAAAAACAGATAACGGCCGTTTCCCGTTTACGTGACTTCCGTGACTGCGATGCCGAACTCTTGCACCAGGTTCGGACTGAACCAGGACTGATCCAGGTCCGAGACCAGACCGGGACCAGAGCGGGACTAGAGCGGGACCAGAGCGGGACCAGACCAGGACCAGACCGGGACTAGAGCAGGACTGGGGCGGACTCCAAGCTTTGACTCTGAGCCTCCGCGGGGTCCAATCCTCCAATCTGGTCTCGGTCTTGTCTCTGTCTCAGGCTCGCTCTGGTCCCGGTCTGATCCCGGACCTGGTCCATTTGAACCAAAAGCTCTTAGTTCGGTTCGTTTTCGTTGGTGTGAAAGCGTCAGTTGGATGCTTTGCACCACCTCAGAACCAGCCGCGGTTCTGGAGCAGCCCGTCCGGACCTGTAGTCCACAGAACATTCTCACTTTCCCCGCACGGAACCAGCGCGGAGACGATGACACGGAACCGCTCGGACCGCTGGTCTCGGTCTCAGTTCCGCTCTGATCCCGCTCTGGTCTCGGACCTGGATCAGTCCTGGTTCAGTCCGTACGCGGTGCAAAAGTTCGGCATCGCAGTCACGGAAGTCACGTAAACGGGAAACGGCCGTTATCCGTTTTTTCCATTCTTCATTTAAACACAAAATCGAAAACTGAAAAAACGAATCGTTATCCGTTTTTTCATTTTGGTTTTGGAGACAAATAGTGAAGAAAACTGTTTTTTCGTTTTCTTATTTTTGGTTTTATATTGAAAAACGAATGAACGAACGAATGATACATGGATTGTTTAATGTTATACTGTGGAACATTCCAAACAAAGTTACACAATGCACTTTTAAGGGACTTGTAATTCGACATATATTGTGATGGCTCATGATATTATTGTGAGACTTTTGGCGATACGATATAACAATATTTCAGCTGTTATTACATCCTTTTTTTTCTTGATTTTGCATAATAATTAATAAAAAAATATATAATCTCCTATAAAGAGTGCGTGTTTAGTGCCGTACCTGTACTTGGGGTGCGTTATGGCGTATATGATGGGGTTGTGGATGGCGGAGGCTTTGGCGATCACAGCTGGTATGGAGTTCATGTAAGGAGACAGCAGATCCGCGTACCTGTAACACAAATGACGAATGAGGTGAGGAAATGAAGACACATTCGCCAGACGAGATTATCCGCTCCCGGAATATATGAGGAGCCCGAGAACTGCAGGTACGGGGAAGAACACTGTTTAATGTGTCAATCAAACATGGCCCGTGCGCTTTCTTGTAAAATATGTGAAGACAGGAAGGTAAGACACAATAGAATAGTAAGAAAGAGGTAAAGGAAGTGAATTAAACGTAAAAGTCAAGCTGAATTTTTATGTTTCTTTAGTTTACTTTAATTTAATGGTCCTATATTACGCAAAATTGACTCTTGTGAGCTTTAAATAACATTAGAATGTTGTTACCTCATCAAAAACAGACCTGGAGTTGGTTTATTTCATTCACAGATGTTTGAGTAATGTTGGTTTATTAGTCTGTTTACATCTCCAAAGCTCAAAATGCTTGATTTTTCGCAGTATTTTTCAAGTTAACAACTCTTTTTTTTTTTTGGCTTTTGTTCAGTAGAGATTGGCAATTCCACGCCTGAAATTATCCAAATGATTTTCGTGAAGGTGTATGGGACGGACGCCGAGAGGGGTCACAACAAACGCAAACGCCGCAACAAATACAAATGTGACAACACAACAAAAAGCCACAACACACCAAAAAAAGCCACTACGAAATGACCGCGGGACTCTATTTTAATGAAAACGCCGCAACAAATACAAATGCCACAACACAAACGCAAATGCCGCAACACATTAAAAAGCCACAATAGTTTAAAAAGCCACAACACATCAAAAAGCCACAACGGAAGTGACCGCGGGACTCTATTTTCCAACGGACCGATCAAGCGGCAAGTGAAGAAGAAGAACTACAACGCGAAAAGTAAAGGAACGGAGAAGTTGGAAACGTAAGTAAAGTTTATTGTTTTATCATTATTCGTTTCACGTTGTAGTTCTTCTTCTTCACTTGCCGCTTGACCGGTCCGTCGGAAAATAGAGTCCCGCGGTCACTTCCGTTGTGGCTTTTTTTGGTTTGTTGTGGGTTTTTGTCGTGTTATCGCATTTGTATTTGTTGCGGCGTTTGCGTTTGTTGTGACCCCTCTCGGCGTCCGTAGTATGGCGCTTAAAAACACAGTGGAGAACTTGAACCCGGAGAACCTGGATTCCCACATGACATCACAAGGTGGAACTCTATAGCATTGTTTCCCAAAGACAGGGTCGCAAGAGATTTTTTGGGGGTCGCCTTGTCACGATCTGCATGTTGGTCTGAAATATACGGTTCTGATCCGTGACCTTATCGTCATTGTGGATAAGCATTTCGTCAGAATATCCTGTCCTTAGTGTGGCCAGTATTTCTATGCTTATTCCTTTCCACTACTACACTACACTACCTGGTCAAAAGTTTTAGAACACCCACATTTTTTCAGTTATTTATTGCAATTCAAGTCCAATGAAGAGCTTGAAATGGTACAAAGGTAAGAACTGAACAGCCAGAGGTTTAAAAAAAAAGGTAAAAGATACAAAACACAAGTCCAAGCTCTGCCAAAACTACCTCAGGAAAAAAGAACAAGATGATAAACTTGAAAACATGGAGCGTCCAGCACAGTGTCCAGACTTAAACCCCACACATTTATGAGAACTTCTGCAACAGACTTGAGAAAAACTTTCTGAAGAATATTTGATTTCTATTGTAAAAAGAACGAGCCACGAGTGTGTTCAGCTGGACACTTTAATGAATCAAAAGTTTAGAATGCGTTTTGGTCAACAGTAAACAGTAAAAAAAAAATGGAAAAAGTGTGGTGTTCTAAAACTTTTGACTGGTAGTTTTTACGTGTGAATTGGGATTTTTCTGTGCTCACAAAAATGAAGACAAAGCACAGAAACAGACTGAACGCTGCGCCTGATCTGCTGCTGCTGCGTCTCCTCCTGCACCTGGACTGGAACAAAAACACAGACAGGCCCACCTATCTCACTAGAAATGCTAAGACATGTTTTGTATAATTTCTAATCTTTTTGTAATTATTTTGTTGACTATTTTGTTCCAATATTGCTGGTTCAGTTGAATGAAAATGAAAAGAAACGGGCTACATTTAATGTCCAAATAGGCAGCTTATGGATCCTTTTATTGCTGCTTCAGTGACTGTTTTTCATTGTTTAAAACTTGAGTAAAACTGATTGTTCAGAGACACGATCACTCAGTCAACAATAAAATATGTTCAATAATGCTCAAATCCACCTTTACTGTGTGATTTATGAATAACGTCTATTGACTTGAGTCGCAAACATTTGTGACTTTTAAAATATCTGTCCCCAGAAATTTGTTCGCTTGACGGTAGGCGGGTACTTTTTTGTTTAACCAATCGCTGCTATTTGGTCATGACATATGTAATGCTCCTCTAACGGGGCGAACTGGTGTATTAAGATTTTCCCAAATCCCGTAGGAAGAAGGGCAATAACATCTTTCCCCTTGATACAGGATATCCCCAGGTTTGACTACCCCAAATTTAAGACTTTTTTTTAGACCTTTTTTAAACTTAAATGAAAATTAAGACCAACATTGCACCGATTATGTGGGCGAAAAACTCCAGATCCAATTCTAATAATGACCATCCAACTACCTACTTTACTGATTTTTTACTCACTGCTGCCGGTGCCAGAAACCAAAGTATTGTTTGCGAATACTCTAAATTAGACGTTCATTCACGTTACATGATTTCACGTTGTTGTTTTTTTTCCTTCCATCCATTAACATCGTACTGCAGCCCGGTTGAATATACAAAAAAATAGGCTAATAAAATTTAAGATCTTTGTGAACAAAATAAGACTTGGCCAACATAATTTAAGACTTTTTAAGGCCTTAATGTAGGAACATGAAAGACCTTTTAAGACGCCGCGGCTACACTGTGATAAAATTCACCAAACATTCTCTGTTCCGACTAGGGATGGGCATGATTACTCGATTAATTGATAATTGATCATTAAGAATTTCATCGATTACGTAAATTTTAATCGACAAACTGAATGTAGGTTGCTGTGCGTAGCGTGACCAAACAGGTCTGTACATGTGTCTCTCTGCACTCAGAAGGAGCGAGACACAAACAGTCAATCCGCCTGCAACGATACCGAAGTACAAATGCGTATTTAACGATGACTTGTACAAGAAATTCCACACTTTCCGTTGCGTTCGGGACAAGTGTGAGTCCATGTGCACAGTGAACAAAGCAGCACATATGTTTCAGGTGTCCAGTGGGAAAAAGTTTTGCCAGGTGAGAGTCGCTCAATGTCGATGACGAGTCCCCACCTCCCACCCCCTGGTTTTGACAAACGCAAATCTGGTCACACTAACCTGTATTCCACTGAGTCATGTCTTTTAATCCGACAGAAATTGACCGCATCAGCGACACAAGAGCTGTAGTTTTATCTTCGCTTAGTTTATGCAAATTAGTGATGTGGTTTTAAGTTTCGTTTCTGTGAGAGTTGCACAAAACTGAATTAAACACATTAAAATCTCAAACGGGCTGATGTGGCTCTAGAGTCGTTNAGGGTAAATCTTAGTCACAAAGGGGCGGCAGTGTAAACACAGAAGCCCAGACTTCCTCCAGATGTTTATTTGTGTGGAAGTCAGAGGTGCCCCCCTGTCTCTCTCTCTCTCTCTACTGTCTCTCTCTCCTCTACTGTCTCTCTCTCCTCTACTGTCTCTCTCTCCTCTACTGTCTCTCTCTCTCTCTCTACTCTCCTCTCTCTCTCTCTCCTCTACTGTCTCCTCTCTCTCCTCTACTGTCTCTCTCTCTCTCTCTCTCTCTCCTCTACTCTCTCTCTCCTCTAACTGTCTCTCTCTCTTCTACTGTCTCTCTGTCTCTCTCTCTCTACTCTCTCTCTCTCTCTCTCTCTCCTCTACTGTCTCTCTCTCCTCTACTGTCTCTCTCTCCTCTACTGTCTCTCTCTCCTCTACTGTCTCTCTCTCTCCTCTACTGTCTCTCTCTCTCCTCTACTGTCTCCTCTCTCTCTCTCTCTGTCTCTCTCTCCTCTACTGTCTCTCTCTCTCCTCTACTGTCTCTCTCTCTCCTCTACTGTCTCTCTCTCTCCTCTACTGTCTCTCTCTCCTCTACTGTCTCTCTCTCTCTCTCTCTCCTCTCTCTCTCTTCTCTTCTCTCTCTCTCTCTCTCTCCTCTAACTGTCTCTCTCTCTCTCCTCTACTGTCTCTCTCTCTCCTCTCTGTCTCTCTCTCTCCTCTATTCTCTCTCTCTCTCTCTACTGTCTCTCTCTCTCTCTCTCCTCTCTGTCTCTCTCTCTCTCTACTGTCCTCTCTCTCTCTCTCTCTCTCTCTCTACTTCTCTCTCTCTCTCTCTTCTCTCCTCTGCTCCTCCTCTCTCTCTCTCTCTCCTCTACTGTCTCTCTCTCCTCTACTGTCTCTCTCTCTTCCTCCTCTACTGTCTCTCTCTCTCCCTACTGTCTCTCTCTCTCTCTACTGTCTCCTCTCTCTCCTCTCTCTCTCTCTCTCCTCTACTGTCTCTCTCTCTCCTCTACTGTCTCTCTCTCTCCTCTCTCTCTCTCTCTCTCTCTCTCCTCTACTGTCTCTCTCTCCTCTACTGTCTCTCTCTCTCCTCTACTGTCTCTCTCTCTCTCTACTGTCTCTCTCTCTCCTCTACTGTCTCTCTCTCCTCTACTGTCCTCTCTCTCTCTCTACTGTCTCTCTCTCTCCTCTACTGTCTCTCTCTCTCTCTGTCTCTGTCTCTCTCTCTCTCTCTCTCCTCTACTGTCTCTCTCTCTCCTCTACTGTCTCTCTCTCCTCTACTGTCCTCTCGTCTCTCTACTGTCTCTCTCTCTCTCTCTCCTCTACTCTCCTCTCTCTCTCTCCCTGTCTCTCTCTCTCCTCTACTGTCCTCTCTCTCTCCTCTACTGTCTCTCTCTCTCCTCTACTGTCTCTCTCTCTCTCTCCTCTACTGTCTCTCTCTCTCTCTCCTTCTCCTCTACCTGGTCTCTCTCTCTCTCTACGTTCTCTCTCTCCTCTCTCTCTCTCTCCTC